AACAAATATATTCACTAAGAACTTTCAGGACTTTTTCCAAAGGTTAGAACATCACTTAAGCCTTAATTTGAAGTATGGAAAAATAAGTTGTTCTCCTGACACTAATAAGGTTTGAAGCAGTAGCTCAGAGTGTGGTCCACAGACTTCTGTTGGTTATTTTCTACTAGAGGCCATGCATGGGTGATGTTCCTCAGCCTGGACAGCAACTGAAGCCTATCTGGGGGCCAGGCAGCCAGGAGGAAGGACCCTGGTAGGTTGTTCAGCCGGCCCCCCAATCAGGGCAATCAGGGGGGCCTGCAGACCAACCTCCTGTGGTCCCTTCCCCTTGCCAGCCAACCCCCACCAATTGAGGCTAATGGGGGGGCTCAAGTAGGGGTAGGAGCCACAGAAGGTTGGCTATGGGAGCACACTGGCCACCAGGGGTCAGCTCCTGCATTGAGCGTCTGTCCCCTGGTGGTCAGTGTGCATCATAGTGACTGGCCAACTGGTCGTTCAGTTGTAATGTTCACTTAGGCTTTTAGATACATATATATATATATGTATATGTGTGTGTGTGTGTATATATATATATATATATATAGAGAGAGAGAGAGAGAGAGAGAGAGAGAGATAAATGTATAGAGATATATAGAGATATATAGGTATATATATAGATAGATATATAGACTAGAGACCTGGTGCACAAAATTCATGCACTGGGGGTAGGGGACTGATCCTCAGCCCAGCCTGCACCCTCTCTAATCTGGGACATCTATCTCACAATCCAGGACTGCTGGATCCCAACTGCTCACCTGCCTGCCAGCCTGATCACCCCCTAACCACTTCCTTGCCAGCCTGATTGACGCCTAACTGCTCCCCTGCCAGCCCAATTGCCCCCAAATGCCTTCCTCTGCCAGCCTGATCACCTCCAACTGCCCTCCCCTGCTGGCCCGATCACCTCCAACTGCCCTCCCCTGCTGGCCCAGTCCCCCCCAACTGCCCTCCCCTGCTGGCCTGATCGCCCACAACTACCCTCCCCTGCCAGCCATCTTGTGGCAGCCAGCTTTGACCACATGAGGGCGCAATCTTGTGGGAGGGCATGAGGGTCAATTTGCATATTACCTCTTTATTATAATAGCCAGGTTAATTATAGAAGTAGGAAGTAAATATCTAGAAAGTTTTCTAGTCACCTGACAGTACCTTTATGTCTGTAGAATCCAATAATACCAAATTCAGCTTTATACCATAAATGCTTCTTTTCATCTCTATCCTACTTTACAGAAACATTAGATTGGAAATAGCTTAAAAATAAACTAGTTTACTACCAGAGTATAAGAAACACTGGTTTAGATCACATACTCTTTAGTACCTAGGTTGGAATCCTAGCTCTGTCATTCACAGCTGTATAATTTTGGGCAAGTTCAACATCACAGCACCAAATAATGTATAACAATACTAATGGGAACCCATTTCCAGTAGCACTGTCTTATATTCCCCCTTCCTTACATCACTATTCTTTTGGTTGATTGGAAAGACCACTGGGGTATTAATAGAAATGTCCATGTTGAAAAATGACAGCTGCAGTTACAAACCCAACATTTCAGTAAACTGAAGGCACTATACATAAAGACATAAAATAACGAGCAGAAGGGTTAGCAAAAGAATCGAAAAGGATGCCTTTATGATTTTTAAAGTGGTAACACCAATTCTCACACTTCAACCATACTATGAGTTTTCACTTGAAAGGCAACATTTACTAAGCAGCAAACTACCAATGAAGATGCTACATATTTTTACTAGTACATACATTTTAACATCCTATATAATGAAGAGGTAAAATGCAAATTGACCCTCACACCCTCACAAAATGGCTGCCAACAGGGGGGTTAGTGAGGGAAAAACTAAACGACTGAACAAGCAGGCTGTGTGGGGCAACCAGGCCAGGAAGGGGGTTAGTGAGGGACAACCAAATTATTGAAGAACAGGATGCATGGGGTGACGAGGCAGGCAGGCAGGCAGGCAAGCGATTAGGAGCCAGGATTGTGAGAGGGTGCAGACTGGGCTTAGGGGACACCCCTTCCATGCACAAATTTCGTGCACCAGGCCTCTAGTATTACATATTATCTTAACACTCGAGACCCAGTGCACGAATTCATGTAACAGTGGGATCCCTCGACCTGGCCTGTGGGACTGGGCTGAAACTGCCTCTCTGACCTCCCTCAAGGGGGCCCGGGGCTGCAAGAGGGTGCAGGCCAGGCCAAGGGACCCCACCAGCACAATCGGGGCTGGAGAGGGACCTGGGAGGTTGGCCAGCCAGGGAGGGACTCTGTGTGAGGGCTTCAGGGTGTGTCCACCCCATCTTGCTCAGTCCCAACAGGCCAGACACTAGCAGCAAGCTAACCTAACGTTCAGAGTGTGTGCCCCCTGGTGATCGATGCACATCATAGCGACTGGTCAACCAGTCAACTGTCTGCCCCCTGGTAGTCAGTGCACGTAATACCAAGGAGTTGAACGGCCTTAGTATATTAGCATTATTATGCTTTGTTTGAACAGACAACATGACACTCAGCATATTAGGCTTTATTATATAAGATATTCAGTCTTCACAATTCTATTCTCTCCCCTCTTTAAATCTAAGCCCTAGGTAGTTAACATGTCCTAGTTGTGAGAACATTTAAATCCAGGACTATCAGTGTTCAAGGCCAAGAATCACCATATGCTCCCGTTTACCTGTTTGTTGCTTCAGCATTATCAATATTATCATTACTATTACTACTACTACTAGCACTACTATTACTACTACTATTACTTGAACCCTCCTTCACTCTCAAAAGTACCAAGAGATGTACAGCAAATTATACAGTTACCAATATACAGCACAATATTCAGCACAACCTGAAGCTCAACACCTTCACTACAGTGCAAGTACATGTCACTGCCAATAATCTAAAAAAAACACAAATAATATACCTCACCCTCCCGTCCAAACACATACACAAATTCCATTGGTAGAAAAAAAAGTATGTGCCAAACATTAATTATAGTGAATTTATTTTATTATGCAAGACAGCGTACTAAATGTATGTGAACAAACATCTGAGAAATACATGTAAGTGTAAAATAAAGCCTCTGCTACAGAGAAAAAATTATTTAATACAAGATATATAAACAAACTTCATAATAATTTACTCTTTCCATTTCCAAGCACTCAGTCTCCAGGTCTATCTTTTTTTTTTTTTTTTTACCAAAGGATGGATTTCTCCCCACAACCAGCATCTCCAATATTAAATTAGTATAATTAAATACTACATAAGAACAAGTAGACAGTCTCACCACCAGCCTTCTTAGGAATAAAAAATTGCTGTAAACACTGAATATTACAATTAATTGTTTTGGTTCTTAGTTTTCAAATATGTCTACTGCAAAGAAATACCAGCTAATCTAACACCATTCATCAGAAACATGTGCCTGTGGACTTTGCAGGTCTTTTTCCTACTCTGAAACAAAGGATTAAAATGGTAACCTTTGTGCCATAAATTAAAAAGTTGAAGTAGAAAAAGAGCACATGGAGACTTAGCTAAATACAAACCTTTTGTTTTTTTTAAAAAACTGATTTTAGAGAGAGAAGAAGGGAGAGGTAGAGAGAGAAACATCAATGTGAGAGAAAGATGGCTCAGTTGCCTCCAGCACATGACTCATCAGGAGATAGAATCTGCAACCTAGGTATGTGTCTGACCAGGAAATGAACTAGAGACTCTTTGGTACATGGGAAAAGGCTCAACAAACTGAGCCACATTGGCCAGGGGCAAGCCTTTTAAATTTAAATTGCTGCTCATATGAGGAAATTTTTTTACTTGCATAGGATTGTGAGACCCTATGTATCAATTTTGATTCTAAAGACAATACTCTCTAATATTCTTTCCAACTAATGTAAAATATCATCTGAACAAAAAATCCTGAGGTATCAAGAGGAGCTTTGATGATTTTTACAAATTGGGCTAAAATTATTGGAAAATTGGTAGCAGAGTATGTGGATGCTACACAGACACACTCCCATGACCAAACTGGAATTACATTTAAAATACAGAACATCCTGAATAATCAACTGAAGACTAGCTGAGGAGAACCCTGATGACCAAGAACAGAAAGTGGAGACTGCATAGAGACTAACACTTGCTATCCAGGCAGTTTTGCCTCAAGGGAAGACAGCTGAACTCTGTATTGAAAAATATTTTGCCCCACAGTATGGAGTGTCTGAGGACCATTAGGAGAACGAAAATAACTATTAGCCTCCAGGCAGAAGCAATGAAAAACTCTTGCCATACCTGAATTCAAGTGGGAATCATTAGACAGTCTCTGAAGGCTTTAAGTTAGGGGTGTCGAACTCAATCAGAGAAGGGGCCAAAATCTAAAATCCAGCCTAAATCGAGGGCCGAATGGTTTACTGAACAGTCATAAACTGTCATTGTGATGGAAACGCAGCGGAGTGCAGTGATGACAGCGCGGTGCGGGCCACATTGCAAGGCCTGGCGGGACGGATTTGGCCCACGGGCCTTGTGTTTGACACATGTGCTTTAAGTCTTTGCCTCATCTAATTAGTCATAAACAGAATTTGACACTGTCCTGCAGTAGAGATTGAGAGGTATTGGGGATCTACCTAATTCATAGTCACAAACTCAAACAGATTGAGAATGAGAATACAAAGAAACAACCCCCAAGTGAAAGAACTAGAGAATTCTCCAGAAGAGATAAATGAAGCAGAGAAATTTATTTGATACAGAGTAATGATGGTAAAAATACTGAATAGTATAAAAAAAGATATAATAAACATAAAAAAAAGAACAGTCTGGGATAAAGAATGTCATAGTACAAATAAAGAACACATTGGAAGGAATACACAACAGATTAGAAGCTGAAGACTGAATTAGAAGACAGAGTTGAAATTATCACTCATTTAGAGAACTAAAAAGAAAAATAATTAAAAAACAGGAAGACAGCTTAAAGGTGCTATATTACAATAGCAGGTGTGCCAGAAGATGCAGAAAGCGAGAAAGGAATAGAGATCATATTTGAAGAAATAATGGTAGGAAACTTCCCTAACCTGGTAAAGGAAAGTCACACAAGTTCAGGAGGCACAGAGAACTCCAAACAAGAAAAACCCAAATACATCCATGCCCAGACTTATAATTAAAATGCCAAAAATTAAAAACAAAGAGAGAATCTTAAAGGCAGCAAGAGAAAACTGTTACCTGCAAAGGAGTTCCCATAAGACTGACACCACACCTGATTTCTCGTCAGAAACTCTAAAGGCCAGAAGGGAATGGCATGAAATACTCAAGGTAATAGAAAGCAATGATCTGAGACCTTGATTACTATATCCAGCAAAGCTATCATTCAAAATAGTTAAATAAAGAGCTTCCCAGACAAAAAAAAAAAAAAAAAAAAAAAAAAAGCTAAAGGAGTTCACCACCACCAAGCCAGCATTATAAGAAATGCTAATGCGGTTGCTAAGAAGAAGAAACAGAGAGAAAACCAGCAATACAGAGTTAAAATGGCTCTAAGTACTTCTCAATAATAATCCCAAATGTAAATGGATTAAATGCTCCAATCAAAAGGTGTAGGGTAGCTAAATGGATAAAAAATATTAACCTGTCCCATTGGGAATACAAAAACACAAGTCAATTATATACTGTCTACAAGAAACCCACCTCAAAACAAAAGACACACACAGGATGAAAGTGAAGGGATGGGAAAAAATTTTCAAAAAAAAAAAAAAAAAGCTAGAGTAGCAATACTTGTATCTGACAAAATAGACTTTAAAACTATAATACTAAGTGAAATAACCCAGAGAAAGATAAACATCATATGGTCTCACTCATTTGTGGAGTATAATGAACAACATAAACTGATTAACAAAAATAGAGCCAGAGGGGGGGAAATATACAAGAATATAATGAAAACAATCTATTATTTGCAGATTTTTAAGATTTCCTATAATTTTTGTGATATCATACTATGTTAGTACAGTTTTGGTAATATACTTAAAATCCTTTTATTCTTAAATGTTTATTGCATGTAATATTACTATAGTAAGATTTTTTTCTTGAATAATTGGTAATTATTGCATATAACATTATTATATTTAAGATTATTTTTCTTGGGGGGAGAGGGGACAAAACAAAACACAAAGTCCCAATTATGGAAATGTTGTTCTTGAAAAGATCAGGGGTCAATCCCTGAGGAATCACTTGCTGATCGATGTTTCTCTCTCATTAATGTTTCTAAGTCTCTATCACTCTCCCTTCCTCTCTGTAAAAAAAGTAAATAAATAAAGTGAATAAGTAAATAAATCAATAAAATAAATATTTTTTAAAATAAAAAAAAATAAAATCATTAACCAAAAACTCCTAACCTAGCCAGTGTTGTTCAGTGGTTGGAGCATTAGTCCATGCACCAAAGGGTTGTGCATTCAATTCCTGGTCAAGGGCATTTCCTGGGCTGCAGGTTCAATCCCTGGCCCTGGTCAGGGTATGTGCAGGAGGAAACCAAATGATGTGTCTCTCTCACATTGATGTGTATTTGTCTCTTCCTCCCCTCCTCCCTAAAAAATCAATAGGAAAAAATATCCTGGGGTGAGGATTAACAAAAAACGAAGAACAAAAACTCCTAAAAGTAAACCCACTGATCTGGGTCAAAAACAAAGAGCTAGAAAAAGAAAAAAAAATGTTAAAGCAGAAGAGACTAGAAAAAAGAAAACAGCTTAATAAGAAGCATGAATGGAAAATGATATGCAGAGTCGAGGCAGATGTCAAAGACAAAAAAACAGTGGCATCCTCAAAGAATTGCAACAAGGGATAGTGTTGTACAACTCTTTAACTAGTCATAAGTATCAAAAGAACATTGATGAGGTTAAATAAACTAGCAGCTCCATTAGAAAGCATGCTAAGTTGCTATCAACTGTTTTCAAGGAAGATTTCATCAGTGTTCGAAGAAGGATGGACGTAAGTACAAACAAGAAAAGTTTAACTGGAAAGAACTCAAAAGCCAAACAAATATAACGTGAAAGAAGAGGACCTACATTCACTACTGGTGGAAATGTAACCTGCTAGAGCCACTATGGAAAATAGTATAAAAGCTCCTCAAAAAATGAAGAGTTACCAGTATGGGATATTTATAATGGAGAGACTGTGCATAGGGGGCCGGAGGGGGAGTCAGGAGGTATACTGTAAAACACCCTCTGCACTTTCAATTTTGTAGTGAACCTAAACCTGCTGTTTAAGTGGGAAAGAAAAATAAAGTCTGTTTAAAAGGGAAAGTAAGAAAAAAAGAATCTACAAACAGGTAGAGCAAATTATTACCGTAGGACACCTTATTATTGAAATTACTGTTATTTAATTTCCTCATGTCTATCTAAATGTTTCAAATTTGGTATAACAAAATTATGCTGAATCCCAAAACCATACCTGAGTATATTCTGGACGCTCTCTCTGTTCCAATGATGTCAGTTCCCAAATCCATCAATATAACATGTTTAAAAGTTAACTTTGTTCAGTAATGCTTGTTTTGTTGTACAGCAAGTTCCCCACTGCCCCTTTTCCTTTTCAGAAATTTTCCGCCAATTCTCATTTACTTATTCTTTTAAATAAACCTCACAATCATTTTATAAAGCAAGGGTTTGCAGGCTTTTCTATAAAGGACCAGAGTGTAAATATTTTAGGCTGGTGATCTTTCTATCATTTATTCCTAGCTAGCAGGCTACACAAAAATAGCCTAAAGGTCAGTTTGTGGAATCCAGCATAAAGCATAGTTCCCAACCTACTTGCAAAGATTTTGGCTTTTTGGTCGTTTTACTGAACTTAGGTATTCAAGAATAGTTAACATCTTCCCAATAATAAATCTTTTTCAAAAGTAAATTATGATTCTTTATTAAAGTTTTCCTTTGTAATCCTCAATAGAGGTGTATAGCTTTTATGAACTAGAGGCCTGGTGCATGAAAATTTGTACGGGGGGGGGGGGGGGGGGGTGTCCTCTCAGTGCAGTCTGTGCCCTCTCCCAGTCCAGGACCCCTTGGGGGATGTCCATCTTTCCAGCTGTTAGTCGAACATCCTTAGTGCTGCCACCATCAGCACTGCGCTGGCCAGCCATGAGCCAGCTGTAGCTGAACAGCACTCCTCCTGTGGAAGCACACTGATCATTAGGGGGCAGCTCTTGCATTGAGGGCATGCCCCTGGTGGTCAGTGGTGTCATAGCAACCGGTCATTCCATCATTAGGGTCAATTTGTATATTACCCTTTTATTATACAGGAATAGGATACTGCAAATTACTTGTTAGATATATAATTCCTGTCCACGTGAAGGCACTGGCACTTTGCTATATGAATGAGGCGAATTTCTTGCTAGGTTTACTATTCTTGGTACTTTTTGCCTAGTTCTATAAAAAGTATAACACTGTATTCTAAAATCAAAATGCAACAAAAAATTACTTCTAAAATGTCATGGTAACTTTTTCATGTTTTTTCTATTCAGTAATGCAGTAACTGTAAAGGTCCACAAAGAGCTGGGTTAAGCACTTAAGAGTGCCTGTCATATGCCAGGCACTCAAATGTTTGAATAAATGAGTGACTCTAACTTTGTTCCCTCTCAAAATTCCACTGAAATTATAGTAAAGAAATCTTTTTTTTAAGACCACAACTGTGGGGAGAGCAGGGTAAAAGAAAGATCTGGAATGTAGATGGAGGAGAGGTGGTAACTGATCAATGTGCAAAGTTAGATCCTTCAAGTCAAGCAGCTGACAGCATCTTTAGAAAAGGGTAGTGAAAGAAGGGCATAATTAAAGAAAATTCTATGAGAGTTTTTTGCAAAATAACTAGATTCCTGAATTCTCCTCCCCCTACTCCAAGTCACTGGGATTGTTGCCATATGGGTTCAAAAAGAAAAAGAAAATAAGCAACGTGGAGGAAACAACAAAAAAAGAAAATGCCTTTTAAAGTATGTATCTAAAAAAATATAAAAAATTATACCTGTATCCTTCAAAAGAATAAGATTTTGTATACATACAAAAATTATAAGAAACCGTAACAATTCTAAGAAACCATACAAGTAAAAATTCAGAAGACCAGAGAGAGATAGAGATATAGAGATAGAAACATTTGAAAATTTAAAATATCAGGCAGAAAATGTTGGAAAATAAATGAAATTTCCCAAAAAATAAAGCAAAAGAGAAGGAATTTGAGAGCAAGATTTAATTTTTAAGTCAGGTAACTGGGGGTGGAGGTGGGGTGCAAATGGGGGAGATAACCACACATTGGTACGGTAATACCTTAACCAATAAAAATAAGAAATAAAAATAACAATAGTCAGGGGACCAGTCCAGTAGATATACTCTGTAACTGTTTCCAATAGAAAAGGAAAATATCAAAAGTGATAATAAATGTCGAAGTGATGAATTTGAGTTGCAAATATGTCATATTGAAAAAAATCTTAATAAGTATTCAGCACAACCAATAAAAATGCTCATACTAGCCCTGGTGAGTGTGACTCCGTTGGTTGGGCATGATCCCATGCACTGAAAGGTGGCAAGTTAAGATTCCCAGTCAGGTTCCATGCCCAGATTGTGAGTTGGCTCTGGTCCCAGATATAGGAGACAGCTGATTAATGTTTCTCTCTCCCTCTCTCCCTCTCTAAAATCAATAGAAACATTAAAAATACTAATAAAACATGTCATTGTGAAATAAGAACAAGGAAAGAGTCTACAAATTTCTGGGGAGAAAGAGAACTGGTTCAATTTAAAAACAAAAAGCCATCAGAAATCATCAGCCACAATCAAAATTGGCCATGAAGCAATGACTTCAAATTCTGAAGAAAAGAATTCCACACCCAGCCCTAGCTGGTTTTGTTCAGTGGGTAGAGCATCGGCCTAAGGTCACGGGTTTGATTCTGGTCAAGGGCACATGCCCAGGTTGCCGTATCAATCTCCAGTGGGAGACATGCAGGAGGCAGCCAATCAATGTTTCTTTCTCATCACAGATGTTTCTATCTCTCTCCTCCCTTCCTCTCTTAAGTCAATAAAAATATATATTTTTAAAAAGAATGCTATACCCAACCAAACT